GGCAGCCTGCCAGTCTGATTCACCAATCTGTAAAGCACTTGGAGGTTATGCAGGGGATGTCAGGAGCACTCATGTATCTGCTGTAACTTGTTGGTGGGAGCTGAGATATTCGTGGAAGCACAGTGTGGTTGGGGTTGGAAGGGGCTTCTGCACATTATGCTGTCCAGCCCCTCCGTTCAAAGCAGGGTCAGCTAAAGCAGGTTGCTCAGGACTGCATCCAGTCGGATTTTTAGTGTCTCCAAGGATGGAGACTCCACAGCCTCTCTGGGCAACCTGCTCCAGTGTTTGATCACCCTTAGAATGAAGTAAGTTTTTTCTCATGTTTAAGTGGAATTTCCTGTATTGCAGTTTGTGCCCATTGCCTCTTGTCCTGTCACTGGGCACCACTGAGAAGAGTCTGTAAGTCTGGTTCCGTTGTCTTTATTCCCCCCACCCATCAGGAGTTTATACATATTGATAAGATCCTGAGCCTTCTCTTCTCCAGGCTGAACAGTCCCAGCTCTCTCAGCGTCTCCCCGTACGTCAGATGCGCCAAGCCCTTAAACCTCTTCGTGGTCCTTTGCTGGACTCACTCCATTATGCCCACGCCTCTTCCGTACTGGAGAGCCCAGACCTGGACCCAGCGTTCCAGGTTGGGCCTCACCATTGCTGAGGGGAAGGATGACCTCCCTCAACCTGCTGGCAACGCTATTCTTCATGCCACCCAGGAAAAGGTCGGCCGCCTTTGGCAGGAGGGCACACTGGTGGCTCGCGCTCAGCTTAGTGTCCACCAGGACTCGCAGGTCCTTCTCTGCACAGCTGCTTTCCAAACAGTCGGTCCCCAGCCTACACTGGTGCACGGGGTTATTCCTCCCCAGGGGCAGGCACTTGCCTTTGTTGAACTTCCTGAGTTTCCTCTCTGCCCGTTTCTCCAGCCTGCGAGGTCCCCTCTGAACGGCAGCACAACTGTCTGGTGTTTCAATTCAACAACTCCTCCTAACGTTGTTTGCAGACTTACTGAGGGTACACTCTGTCCCCTTGACCAGGTCATTAATGAAGAGGTTAAACAGTACTGGCCGCAGTATTGTCCCCTGGCAGGCAGCGCTAGTTACTGGCCTCCAGCTGGATTCTTTGCTGCTGCCTCACAACCCTCTGAGCCCAGCAGTTCAGCCAGTTATCCGTCCACCTCACTGTCCACTTAGCCTGTACAACTAGCCTGTACTTCGTCAGTTTATCAGCAAGGATATGATGGGAGACAATGGCAAAAGCCTTACTAAACCTGAGATAAACAACATGCACTAGTGTCCCTTCATCCACTAAGCCAGTCATCTCGCCATAGAAGACTGTCAGGTTATGCACAATTTCAGCATCAAGAGATTCCACAAATCATCTTTTCCCATCTATTTTAAAAGATCACTTAAGTGGCTTTTCTGTTGCCTTGCTACAGTATTTTCTAAAATTAGATTACAAAAATATAGGCCGCTCTAAAAGACATTTGATCTTTATTATATTTGTAAAATTTAATTCTGTGAATTTCTTTTTTTTTTTTTTGAAGAATTTGGATCCTTTAGTCCCTACAATATACCTAGCTTGAGGTGCCAGTAGAATAGGTAGGAAGGCTTTCAAAATATAACTGTACAACTGGTTAACATACTAAAGCACATCAGTTAAGCTGCTGTGTAGCTTGTTATAGTCCAATAGCCTATATTCCAGGATCTTCAAGTGAATATGGTTTTGTTAAATAAAGGATATTGTGTGGAGTGATTTTGAGATCACAGTCTCTATTCCGCCATGAAATGATAGCAGGAGGGACTCTCATTCTAATTTGCCAGTAGGTCTCTGTATTGACCCAGTACCTATATTTAGTGTCCCTCATAAATTCACCAGTTAATGTCATCTTTAGATGATTTATTTTGGGGTCTCTGAAGAAACAGACTGAGACTTGGCATTCTTTTCACATGAATCTTTGAATCTCAAACAACCCGTTGCTAGGAATTTGTACCACAAAATATAAATATAAATATATTTTGTAATGAATCTGGACTTGAGTGAGTCTGCCTTTTCCAGTCTTGCGTTGTGTTAATATAAAATACCTGCTTGGCAACAGCTCTGAGAATTAATAAAGTTTCTGTGGCAAACTATGAGAGGCCTGAGAATTTCAAACTCAAGTTATTGCACCAGTAACTCAGAAAAGCAATTCCTAAAACTACTGGCACATTTATCCAGAAGGTTAGCAGTAGCACAGAAATGGAAATCATTGTTGAGAGCCACTGCCTACTTGGAATTAAAATCCATCAGTCTTCTGAAACTGAGAAGAACAATTTTCATGACATACGGATGCTGCTGTATTTCACAGTGAAAATTAAATCTAGGGCTGTTTTTTACCCCACTTGTAGAGAAATTTTTATCTGTTAATCCCTAAAATATACTTAGCTTGAAGTGCACTTAAATAATGCACACAGAAGCTAGGCATTTAAAACACTTCCAATGCTTTGTTTTTATTTAATTTCAGTGAAAACAGAATTATACATTTGGGGAGGGGGAAGGTAAAGGAGAGAGTAGATGCCAGCATCACCTTCTGAAGCTGGAAACTCAAGCACAGAAGTCTGAAGATGAGGCATGAGAAATGTAAAAATGAAGTTAACAGTAAACAAAAAATGAACCTTGGTAGTCTACTTCCACTGTTCCTGCTTAAAAAGGAGGGAGAAAGTAACCCAGTAAATCATAAAAAGTTGTGTTTGCTTTTTTGAATTGAGAGCTGAGCAGTGTAAACTGTCATTAGGGTCTTTATTTAGGCCCTGGTTAGGACCTTTATTTCGGTCCTTAACACACCTGCTAGTAGATTCCTTGCTTGATGGGAATTCTGTGAAATTCAGCACAGCATAATGATGCTATTATATTCATGCTGAGATAAACAGTGTGTCTGGAATAAAGAAAAGTCTCCTAGCTATTAACAGTGTAGGATCTGCAATTTGTAGTTGATCGAGTCTGATTCTACTCTCGTAGTAGGCACAAATTATTGTTTGTTCACTGGTGCAAACGTTGCAGTGAGGGAGGGCAAAGAGACACGCACGCACACATGCACATACATACATTGTTATATTCCCTTTTGGAAGAGAGTCTGAAGTTGATAATATCCAAATTTTGACATACTTCTGGGGAAACGAGTTGTTTGTTATGGATGCCAGATAATCTGTGTAGTTTCTTTTGTTCAGAACATCTGTTCCAATGTTTTTTTTTCCCCCTCAAGCAAAATGTGTTCTTGTGTACAGCGCACCTACAATAACAAACCAATACACAGTGGAGTGATGGGGGTACTTGATAAGGAAACATTTTTGTTTTGAGAGGATATTGTGAAAGCGCAATGAAAAATGTATTGCCTGTGACACATTATATTAACTAGAAATAGCTATACTCTCCCTCAAAAATGCTTGAAAGCAACTTAAGGAAACGCAATAAGTTTTTGTTCTCATTTTTAAAAGTTGCAGCTGGAGCTGTAAAGAAAATTTTCCAATAAGCTTTATTAGACACCTGTTGTCTTGTTTGTCCCCAGCTGACCAATTACAGTAAGGCTGGGTGCTGCTTTTTTCTTGTAATATAAGACAAATGAAAAAAGTTGGTTCATGGTAACCAAATGGGTTTACAGAATCTCTCTTCTGTGGTAGTTTTCATAGTTAGTGACCAGGGCACTAAATAAACTCAGGTAAAATGAGCTGATAGACTCTTTGTAGCTGCTGCAGTAATGTTAGAAGCTTGTACCAGTTCTGGACACCTTTCGGAAGGTGACCCATCTCAGTTGTTGAGGATATTAAAATGTATTGTGAGCTAAAGAAAGAACAGAGAGGCATACGTCTTGTAAAGTATTCCTTCACAAACGGTGAAGAAAATGCCTTCAGCAGGCATTTTTGTTGTCAGCCTGTGCCCAGTGAGGAAAGGTGAAAAGGGCCATAGAGGGCTATCATACAACTATTTTATTCCTAAAAGTGTATCCTGTGGACCAGAATTCCAGTGTATCGGGGAAAAGACAGATATTCGTATTCTTACTGTCTATATTTAGACATGTCTTGATGAACACTGTAGTTAAAGCTAAATTCGTAGGTGATGTCTAAGAATAGTAAATGAGCATGTAGGAGTAGTTCTTGTGCTAGGTGGCAAGAAGTTTCAGGTGGAGCAGCAGAACCAGCTGATCAGAGGGTAGAAGGTGGGCATTAAAGAAAGCCAGTCCTTTATATCTTTATATCTTTTGGCTCCTCTGTGAGTGAATTAAGCTCATACAGACTCTTCTGTTCCCATCCATTTACTCTTAGCACTATGCAGAGTATAGCTGAAACACTTCTTGAGTGTGGACATTGGTCACCAGCATTGTTAATCCAGTTCTTTGGTGTACTTGGTGGGGTTCTTTGTTTTAAAGGCAAAATAAAGTACCAGAAGGAGAAATAACACACTGTAATTGTAATGCTTCATACACGTTTAGACGTTCCATCCAGTCAGATTAGAAGCAAACTGTTACCTCAAACAGAGATGCAGTGCGGGGAAACACAGCCATTGCACAAGCCTTCAAAGCTGGCTTGTTGCCTGAGTCTGAGTGATAGACTTTGCCGGTGAGAGGCAAGGAGAGTGGTATTTAGAGAGGATGTGCATGTGTTCTACAGATTTCACAGCCCGCATTGCAAAGAAAGTTAGGTTTCTTTTAAACAGCAGGTAGAGATCTGTGAGAAATGTAGGAGCCCAGAAGTGCAACAGAAGAGAGCAATAGCCTCTCGTTACCTGGGTTATCCACTTGCTGTAACGTCTTGGCTCTGTGGATATCTTGGTTTTTAGAAGCTTGTTTTTGCAGAATCTATGGGCAGGAAAGGCCTCTGACCATGGGGCACCATGAGGGGAGTAAAGGTGAGGGTAGGGGGTGCAGTATGACTAGCCTTGTGTAGAGCTGCAACTCTCGGGGGATTTGGTCCTTGTGAAGTAGTCTTTCTTACCACTTTTCTGCTTTGCTCTTTCCTTTTGCTTTATGATGAGAGCAGATGGGTATTGCTTCAAAGGAGAGTTGGACATCGAGAGAAACCATTTAGGATCTCACTGGAATATGTTGCTAATGGGAGCAAGAGTGAGGCGGCCGTCGATTCTTTTGCAATGAAGAACTGCAGTACAGGTAATGTACTGTATTTTATTGTTTCGAGCTCTTTATGTTTTGATGCCTTTTTAGAGAGGAGCATGATTTCTATCTGTTACAGACCTTCATAGTGTGGAAGTTTCTAGTCATATCAATCATTTAAATAAGAAAAAGTAGAATCCCTTGCAGAGATGAGGGTTTTTCAGTGTTGTCTTGAAAGCTTTTAACCACTTGAACCTCTTTAGGCTGCAACAAGACGAAAGTGTTAGTTTTTTTTTTTTCTTTGGGAAAGCATTTCTAAGAAAATTCCGTTTGGGGAAAACTAAAGCAGTACTCTTTCTGTCTTGCCAGATGTCTATCCTGACGATTTCACTTTCTGCAGCAGAAAATAGAACAGATGAGTGGTTCCTAGACAAGGAACCATTTTCCTTGTCGGGAAGCAAGCCATCTTTTTGAAGTTCCTAGTAATAAATTTCAGAGTTGTTTTTTTAAAACAACTATGGAAAGCTTGATTTTATAAACTATGGACTTCTTTGGAAATGTTCCAAAGCAGTTATACTGAGTAACCCCAATAGCCAATGTAGCATGTGGAATTTTAATAGTAGGCAACCTTAATGGGAGTTACTTTTTAAATGCGAGTTTTGTTATCAATTCAGGTGTGTAAATTTAGTGCTTCATGCCAGAAGCAGCTGCATTTTAGTTCTACATCTTTATGGAACTTGTGAATCATACTGAAATCTTTAGGCTGCATGTCAGTGAAGAATATTACTTCTGATAGCACTTAACACATTACCTTTTGTCATTTTTATTTATTTGGAATACTGATGAGTTGAGCTACATGTCTTCCTTCCAAGCTCTCTAGGAGAGGGGAATCTGTTGGGATTATAAACACATTAATAACGTGTTAATAATTAACAGATTATGTTGGGTATTTACGTTGCTCTCTACGCAGGCCAGTTGTTACAAGAGGTTTACTGTGGCAACTGTCTGTACGTATCAGAAGTAGGCTCCAAGAAAGAACAGCTTAACACTGCACCGAAAGTACAAGGCATATTCAAATAGAATGTACCTGCTATACTGCTGAAATGCAGAGCACATCTTCATATCTCTGTAAGCTTAAACAGAACGTGTTTCAAATCCACAAAACAAAAAAGTAAATGGCAGAGGTCATTCAAATACAAAAGTGCTTTGGGAATTTGTTGTCACAAATTCTGTGATCACAGACTATGTGGAATATTCAGCTGTGTGAAGGTACATAGATCCTCTCCTCAGGAACATTTGAAGGAGAGCCTTAGGTGGCAGACAGTCAAGCCAAGAAAAGGCAGTATGGGCTGTGAAACATGACATTGGCTGAGTGAGATGGTAATGTTAGAAGCTTGTACCACCACTGAACACCTTTCTGAAGGTGACAGATCTCAGTTTTTGAGGATATTAAAAAAAAAATGGTGAGCTAAAGAAGGAGCAAATCTCTTACGGTGCCTACAGATTTTTAGCAGTTGGCTACTACCCAGCTCTGTTTACAGTAGGCAGTGCATGAATAATACTGCAGGGAATAAAACCAGTAGTTCTTTTTTCACTTGGTTGAAACTACTAACTGTTAACACACAGCTGAAGATGTGTCCTTTTACTAGAAAGGAAGTAGTGATGAACAGCCAGAGGTAACACCGTAAGCTTGGAGGAAACAGGGAGATCGATAAGAAAGGACAAATTTAAATCTCATTTTCTGTTTGAAGCCTTTGGACAGCTGTTTGAGGCCTTTGGGCAGTTTAGGTACTTGGATACCTCAATGTCAATAAACTGCCTAAAACATGAGTGAATTTGGGAAAGAAACGTCTAAGAAGCAGTAGCGAGCCTTCAGCCTGATTTTTTTTTTAACCTTTTAAAGAAAGTATTTGCAACTTAAAAATAAATGAGGGGGCACAGACAATCTTAGGATATTAGGCTACCAACTCCCTAACTGGATTCAGGTCTGGATTGAAATTAGATGCTAGGAGGTCCTGAAGGAAGGTGGTGGCTTAAGTTTGGGATTTGCTTTTTAATATTGGAAAGTTCAGTTTGTGAGTTCTTTAATCATGGACAAAATCTCCCACAAACTGGCATTTTAATTGCATCTGAACTGGAAAAAAATCTGCTTATTTGGGATTGAATTGGGTAGTAAAATTTAAAAAGATTTATATCTGGATGCTGCTAAAATTCTAGAGTTTTCTAGAATTCTAAATTTTAAAATTCATCTGACTGAAGATTGTTGCATGGAAACGTAAGTCTACCATTGCAGTGTCTTTGTGCTCTGCATTTCCCTTGCTTCTGCGTTCAACACTCTAGCATACTAGAAAGCCACAGTGCTTTGTCATCCTAAGTGTCCTCGCTATCATATGATTAGTCTTGATCAAATTAGATTGATAGGAAAAAGGAAACAACTTGCAGGTTGACTGTCAAATACTGTGTTAAATATGAAGCAGATTGTGTTTGTCAGTGTGTAAAACTTAAAGTAGTGATTGTCTAATTTTCTTTCTTATAAGTTACTATTTAAAGCAGTGGAATAATGCAAAGTAAAAAAACAAACAAACAAATTACAGAGAGGTAATATAATAATTTAATAATGGCAGTTAGGAATTTGTTCCTTGTGCAAGTAAAGTAATTAGTACAGCAGCATTTTATAGTTGATGGTAATTTCTGGTAATAAAAATAGAGTTAATTTCCTAAGTAACGTATTGACTTATTAATGATATTTAATGGCTTTCTTACTAATTTTTTATTGCAGTTGTAAAGTAATTAATTTGCTAACGTATTTCCAAAAATCTTGATTGAAGTGGTTAATAGTAAGCACAAGTAAATGACAAGACATTGTTTTATTTAGCGGTGTTCAATTTACCGATTCTGTGTAATGTTTTTAAGTAAAGGGGCATGGGGATCAAATGCTTATAAAACACGTTAAAGACTTAGTGATGCTCCAAGGCTGTTAAAAGCAGTTATTTTAGACATTCAGCCTGTCCAAGAGGAAGCACTTAGCTTTCAGGTTTTCTAGTTTAGTAGGCAACATTAAAAACGCTTGTTTTGGACAGGGGAGAGACTGTGTTTTGTTGATTTCTTAAGTTAATGCTTCTGTCCACTCAGCAACAGTTTTTCCAGTGGCTACTAAAAGTGCATAGAAGTACACTCATTACCTTCAGAGTTGTTAAATGGTTAGTTGTATAATGATCTCGTGGTTATAATACATATGCAAATTTCTGGACGTTAAGTTAAGGTTATGCTGAAAGCAAAATCCTGGATCCAGAGCAGAGGACCTCTCAAGAAAGGAAAAATGTTGAAGACCTGAAAGTGGTCTTTCTCTGCAAAGGGATAGTGAGGGAACATTAAAGAATATAAACTGGAAACATGTATGAAGAACTATGCGCAACTACTGGGTAGGGTTTTTCATGATTCCTTTTGATTAATAGTCAAGCAACAGATTTATGAAGCAACAATAAGAAATCAATAAGGGCTTCCTCCATACAGGATTACATATGTTATCTGAATGATTACTAAAATGATGTTTTTGTGTATTCAGACAAAACCTGAATATCTATCATTTCAGTTTCCCCACATATGCTCATTTTCTGCAGTTTGTCTTATAAATTAATTTGCTGCCAGGATGTTGTGGTTAAGTGAACTTAATGAAATACCAGTGGGCACCTTTTCAAAATGAGATCTGGATGGTTCCCAATGGAAAATTGCCTAGAAAAGTTAACCTCTTCTAGGCACAGAATTGAAATAATATCAGTGTTTCTAATAAACACAGATTTCTTCTTGAAGTCTTATGTGACACACCTATAGCTAATCTAAATACTAACAATTAATTCATGGAGAGTATTTTTAACTTTTGAATAGCAATTTCACTTGAGAAAAATCACAAGGTGCTTATGGAAGATTTATGAAGCAACTAAGTTAATTGTGTAAATAATTTGTTATGAATTATTTGCTCAGCTGTAAAGGACAGAGAACAGAAGACCTGCACCTTCAGTGCAACCAAACATGTTTTTTTTTCTGATCTGGAGATCCAGTACTTCTCAGAAATTCAGGGGAACCGTTGAACAGAACAACGAGCACAGTCTATATTGTGCCGTTGTTAAAAACTGAAAAACAGACATGAGAAAGAAAAGTAATTGACATTTAAGAAGCAGTTATCTCTGTTTCAGATCCAGGGCCAATATTTACCATAATATTTGGCCTGTCCAGAGCGTTTCTGTTTAAGGGAAGCTGGAGAATTTCCTTTGGCGTTAATGCTATGGGCAAGGAACTTACCAGTTAGAGGATAGATCCAGAGTTCATTGAAGCTGACGGGAGTTATTCAGTAGGTTTGGAGTAAGTCCTGAATGAATATCCTTCATTTTAAAAAAAGAACTTAGGCAGATTGACTACGTTTTCCTTGGAGTAGCCTATGCTATTTATGCAGTTCCTCTGAGCTAGTTTGCCTGTAGATCTAATTTCACTAAGTAGGCATTTGGAAAAGTTTTACTATTTTAAGTATGTTTGCCTCCAAATACTTCGGCAATCACCTTCCTCCCCATTCACCTCCGTTCCCCCATGCGGCATGATTGATTATTCTGACTTCAGGTTGCGTGCCAAAAACCATCTCTAGCATGCTAGTGTTTTAATGCATTAGGGATTTCCTGCTGGAGAAAAAACTGCTTTACAGTTGAGAATGTGGTAGCTGTAGTGAAGCTCAATCGTTCAAAGGTAATTCCAGAGTGTAAAGTATTTCACTTGTGGTTTGTGCCCATGTAGGTAAAATAAATTTAGTCCACAGATTAGGTGGCTTATCTTTGTTTTCATTTTCCATTTTCATCTTTTAAAAATTCAATTACAGTAACTATAGGAATAAAAAATTAAGCAAATTTAGTCTCAAAATTTCTTCTAGAAAAGGCACAGTAACTCAATTAGTGGTGGAGAAGCTTCTTACAATAATGAATTAATAATTAAGCATTTCTGTTGCTTACTGCGAACACCTACTTCTTGTGGAGCAAAATTCAGACAGTGGTGGTTATGTTAAATAATTTAGT